TTTTTATCCCCCCCCTCTTTAAAAGGGGTCCTGATGCCGTGGATCAGATATGAAACTGATTGGAACAGATACTACACTTGATCGTGTTGGGGAGGGGGGGGGTGTAGTTAAGTAGACTGGGCCTCTCTCTCTCTCGACGAGTCAGTGGACCACGGATCAGATATGAAACCGATCGAAACAAATACTCCACTTGATCGTGTTGGCTACTCAACTGCCCTCAGATTCATCAGTATCTGACCGCAAGCGAGGGATGATGCATTCTCGGGATAGTGGTTTCCCTTGTGTCACATGGGATGCAGCCGGGAATCTGGCTTTTTTTCCCCTTTTTTCTGCAAAAAAAGAAAACAGAAATGAGAAAGTGCTCCAAATGTACTAGCGTAGCGTCCGCGGTGCGGGCGGTGCGGCCTACGCCCGCAACCAAAAAGCGGGAAACTACATGCCCACCGGGAAACAACACGCCCTCCGGGAAACAAAAAAAAGAAAAAACGAAACGACAAAACGACATACCCACCAACACACCCACCAGGAAACAAAAAGAAAATAAAAAATAAAAAGCGAGAAAAATAAGAAAAAAAAAAGAGGAACGACACGCCGACCACGAAACAAAAAGAAAAGCAAAAACGAAAAGCGGGAAACGACACGCCAAAAACGAAAATGCTAAAAGAAAAAAAGGCCGCCCGCTTACCGACGACAGCGGCTTCAAGATATTCCCTCACATCTACGCCCACTCGTTTAATGGCATGCTGTGAACATTTCAGTACGCGCGGCCCTCTGCACACTCCCCCGCCCTGGATCGCCTTCATCCGCCGGCCCTCCACAAAACTTCGACCCCAAATCCGGCGCGCAGCGGACCATTGACCTCCCCCCCACGGCCAATGCTGCTTAAGGGGAAGGATAAAAAAAAATTGTTTTAGTTGCAAGGAAAAAAGGAGGGGAACAAATGGTGGCTACACTACTCCCTTCGGATTCGTCAGTATCTGGCTGCAACTGTGGGAGGATACAGTCTGGGGATACTGTTTTCCCTTGTGTCACATGGGACACAGCCGAGATGCTCGTTTTTTCCTTTTTTTTTTGTGAGAAAAATTAAACGAAAGCGGAAAGAAAGTGCCGCAAAGACTACTTTCCTGGCAGGCAGTTGGATTCTCCCCATTTCGCACGGGGAGTCAGCTGAGAAACTGCCAGGAATCTCTCTTGCTAAAAAAAGGAAAAAAACAAAGCATTGCTCACCTCATGTGCTTCAGGCCAAAACTGCTTCCGGATGCATGCCAACGTTACTCTTCGTTTTTCTTTTCTCGTTCTCACAGGTTTCCTTTCTTTTTCTTTTCTATGGCACTGCACAGAGTGTCCGTGCATGTTTCCACATGCACGGAAATCCAAGAGGCCATATTGCAGTCCATTCGCAACTTTCCCTGGGCCCAACAACCTCCTCCTCCATTGCACGACCGGGCCTTCCCCGACCCGCAAAAGTTGCGGCGCGTTAACAGGTAAGGCCCGCGGCCCATGTATGGGCCAAGTACTGGCGGTTTAAGTTCCTTGTTYCAACCTCACCCAGAGGATTGGTGGTTTACCAGGAAGGGACTTCTCAAGCCTGCAAAATCAGTTGTCTTGTTTCATGAGGCTGCAAAGAGGGCAGTTGTCTAGACGGTCTCCTCGTGGACGCTCCTAGCTTAGGGTCCTCGCTCCCCGGAGGGGTATAGGAATGCAATGACTTTGCAGTTTACCCGGCGGGCTGTAAAATAAATAGGATACTTTATTACTTTTGTAATTCTCTTCTTTTTGGGCCCTTACCTAAGCCTGTTTTCAGCCTGGTCCCAAGAGTGACACTTTCGCAATTCTTGAAGTTTTAGTTTGTGGGGGACTGTTTTACTTCTTGCTTTTTGGTCCACCTGCGGGGACGTCGTTTCAGGTAGGTTTAAATTCCTATTGGGGAGTCTTACGTGTAGGGGCAGACAGGCCGTGGGAGGTAAGTAGGGAACCCTCGAAGTATGTCAGGTTCTTTTCACATTGGTTTTTGGGGAGGGACGTGTCACACGTTTTCAGTGCTGTGCTAATTTTGGACTGGCACCCGTCATCCTGCTGGTGTGGATGAAGATAGCGGCCATAGCTGGGGCCACTTGTACTGAAAGGGAGCAATAGCGCTGAGCCTGAGCCTCGGGCACTGAAGACAACTTGCCTCTAGGTGTTGTCTGAGGTTGGGGAAAGCTGCCATCGCCACATTAGGCAGCTCATCATCTGCTTCTTCTCGAGGATTGAAGACCACCTCTCCTATCAAGTTGCAGAAGCTGTACTTCCTATGAGGCACCCCTCTAATTGGGAGCCGAAGTGGGAGTACTGGTGCCGGCACTGCCTGCAGGCCTGACATGGCACAGGGTTGCTTGGGCGCCATAGCCAGGGGCAGTGTGAATGCGAGGAAGAAGAATCTCCCTGAATCTTCGTGGAAAAGCTGTTCAGGATTGTTCGGGGGGGGTTCCGAGCCTTAGAATTTGACCCGGAAGAGTGGGCATGGACCTCAGGCAGCAATCGGAGTGTCAAAACGAAAACTCCGGTTCAAGATTATACCGTTAAATTTGGATACGGACTACCACTGAAGACCAAAGACCCAGATCCCATTATCTTAAACAGATGGCGAAAGCTGGTGGGACAGGAAGCCGACAAAATTCAACAGATCCCATGGAAAAAATATGCAAGATCAGACCAGTTAAGATCAGAAATCTGCAGTGGGGGGCCAGTGAACCAATGGCTGCACACTAGGCGTAAAGCTACTAATCCGGATAGCTCGGAGTTATGTACAGTCTGCTCGGCAGGAGCGGTAGAGGACATAGTTCACTGCTTGTTGCACTGTGTGGAGGCGACAGACTACTGGGCGAGAGCCTCTTCCCTGTGGGACTCCCTCTTCTCTTCCCCTTTCCCTGAACAACCCATCCAACTACTCCTCACTAACATCCCCACGATGACTCGGAGGGCGGAATCGAATTGGTTTGAACTCATCAGGAAGGTGACCCTATGGGTGATCTGGAAGGAGAGATGCAGCAGATCAATTGAAGGACTATCAAATCCAAGGGACAAGGTATGGAAAGAGTCCAAGTCGATTATCCAAGCAGAGATATTGTGCAGATGGAGGAGAATTAAGCTGAAATGGCCCGAGGACGAAGAGCAGCGAAAGAAAGTGAGATCGAAATTTAACAGGAACTGGCTGATTAGCGGTAGGGTGGCCGACATCCGGGAAGACCGGGTGAGCTGGAAGGACTGGCACAACTCAATTCCGGATAGGATTGTACGGCAACAGTCACCAACGGAGGAAGCAACTATGACTTGAAGGGTTGGGGTCAAAGGGGGTTTCACCGGATTAGGTTGCAGGAGACTGCTTCCACAGGGTCTACCTGCCTTGTCACCTCAGCCGTTCGCCACAATCCAGCACGGGAGGAAGAAAGGGGAGCGAAACTGTGTTCGTCAGTAAGAATCATCCGAGCCAACAGGAAGTGCCGCCGATTGAAGATCGAAAAAAAAAAAGGGGGAAGGAGGGCCAGGATCAAAGAGGGTGCAGAGTGGGGAGGGTCTCATAGAGAAGTGACGGCAGTATGGGGATACAGAGGGATCCGGTCGACACATCACTGGAAGGCGGAAGCAAGGGGGGAAAACTTATTATTTAAAGCATCCAAACAAGGGTAGGGTTTAGGGTTTAGGGTTTAGGGTTCAACACAACTCAAAGGATGGGGGAGAGTAGCTGGATCTAAGGAAATCACAGCAAGTAAGGGCAGGATGGGGATGAGGGACAGCATGGGTGGGAACAGCACGGGAGGAACTCTTTCTAGGTATAACAGATAAATCTGGCAGGACTGCAACAGTAGATCTGAGAGGGAAGAGCGACTCTGGGCAAGCTGACAGTCAATCCTCCACCCAACGTGGAGCAATCAATGCTGTTCAGGGGTCCTCCGGCCAGACAGGAGGACGCATGAGTTGGTTGCTGTGATGTATCATACTTTGACTTGCCGGTGGAATAGGAACCGGACTGTCACTCCCATAAGGCCCTGTTTTTTGGTAAAAAAAAAAAAAAAAAAAAAAAAAAAAAAAAAAAAAGGATTGTTCGGGGGTGTAAATAACGTGGTTGAGAGTCTCGGGGTTGTTTATTGACTGAGGTGGCGAGAGCAGGGGGAAATTTTAAAAATTGAAAACAATTGTTAATTCTATTTCTGGAGTTCGCTTCCGCTGTGTATTTTTCATTATTGATTGGTGTGGATCTGCTCTCTTCAGTCTTCCTGTTATTGCATATGTGTATGGGGACATGTGGATGCAGCGTTGAATGTGAACTCAATCGAGCACATAACAGTCCCACGAAAGTCAGAGAAACTACACCGTGCATCAAAGGCCAACCACAGCAGGCAGAGGCAGGTACCAGTTCCCGGAAAATTCCAAGATTGTGAGCTCCAATGAAGTATAGAAGTCCAGCGGCAGCAAGGTGTCAACAAAATTGTCATTCGAACTTGCTGCAGAAGCGCTGCTGTGATTTTATGCAGCCAAGTNAGTATAGAAGTCCAGCGGCAGCAAGGTGTCAACAAAATTGTCATTCGAACTTGCTGCAGAAGCGCTGCTGTGATTTTATGCAGCCAAGTGTCGAGTGAGGTTGTTTGTCTTCCAGGAAAGAAAGAAAGCAGCATCCACCGCAAGTTCCAGGAAAGAGCGCACACATGCACATACACACCGACAGACATGAACAAACGTGCACATGCTCGCACACACGCACGGGCACACACAAAAGCACAAATGCAAACACCAACACACACACACACACACACACACACACACACACAAACATGCACAAACGCATGCACACAAAAATGAACAAACACATGCACACACACACACACACACACACACACAAACATGCACAAACGCACGCACACAAAAATGAGCAAACACATGCACACACACACACACACACACACATGTACAAACGCATGCATGCACACATGCACGATTATAAACAACGCGGCGTACCTGATGTGTTCCGCACTTCAGACAAGAGCGGCAAGGGACATACAGGCTGTGCTCCCGGTATCAACAATCAGTGCAAATGGGTGGAGTCCCTAGATAAACATAGGCATAGTAGTACCTGTCCAACCAAAGGAAAAGGTTTGAAATAGACAAGGCAACCATAGATGGGATAAGGAAGAGAATCCGAGTGGACACTATTCAGAATCATAAAATCAAAAGAAGCACGGGAACGAACAAACAATTAGGCACCGAAACTGGAAACCATCAATAGGAGTAGCATTCACTACTATAAGAATTATTAATTAATTAAAAAAAAAAAAAAAAAAAAAAAAAAAAAGAAAAAAAAAAAAAAAAAAAAAAAAAACATCAGCGTGGGTATATCTCCATGGAGGGCAAGGCTAAAGAAAGAGGTAACCTCACAATTTCCAAACGGCCAAAGTCCACTCCAAAAAGTCAACAGAACAGGTCATACGCACAGATTGATTTACTTCCTTTCAACCACCGGTACCTCTCACACACATTGTTTCTGACGAGTCCATATACCACTGGGTTCTTCTGATGAACAGTGCTACCGGGCCAAAATGGCTGGTGTCACCAGCCAAAAAAAAAAAGAACACGCACCCATGGCAGTTCGGTCTTTTTTCAAGCACAGGGGAAATCCACATCAGGAAAAAGAGGCTCCAAGGTAAGGGGTGGTTTAACAGCCTTGAGAGATGGGAAACACACAGAAATTAAAAAAGAACATATACTGTACTTACTGTATTGTACACAGTCAGGAGTAGTAAACCAGTGCCAACATTGACTTCCATCGATGGTTCCTTTCCCTTTTGAACTCTAATTCTCAACTGCTATGGTCTCTCTCTCTCTCTCTCTCTCTCTCTCTCTCTCTCTCTCTCTCTCTCTCNTCTCTCTCTCTCTCTCTCTCTCTCTCTCACACACACACACACACACACACACACACACACACACACACACACACACACACACACACACAGACGTTTACCAACCAAACGGGCTACATTTCTTTTCCCTCTCTCCTACTGTCACCCATACATCTGGCACTTCCACAGACTATATCTTTCCATAAATATATATACAACGAAACAGTCCATCACGCCATAGAGAACTGCCCAGTGGGGCATACACAGAAAGGGAGAAAAGGACAGAAACYGAGGSCGATATATATGATYTTGCTGGCTCCCTGCTACATTATTCYCCATCACGTTGAGGGGCAGTGCTCGGGGCCATCACTGCTTGGCCATCCTGTGCCTTTAATGCCAACGGTGTRTCTGTTGTGTATTTTCTGGCTGTRACAAACCTTTCTTTGWGTCCGGAGGAGGTTCCTGGCTTATGATAGGGTGCAGTGGTCGGGGCCATCATTATTTGGTCATGCTGTGCCTSTAATGCMAGTGGTGGGTCTGGAGTGCATTCTMTGGCTGTGGCATTGCTGGATGGCCTTAGATAGGGTGTGAACATGCAGTTGTGAAGTCTTACATCTGGTGTGTGTGGTAGGTGCCCACCTCAGGGTAYAAGTTGTTAGGCAGTTGTTGATGCTCAACCAACTGGGGTTAAGGTGGATTATGATGGACGGTATCATCGGGTAGGGGACTCCGCATACTGTAGAGGGTTCAGCCACATGATGAGTCAGCAAATCATCAACGAAACAGTCCATTACCGCCCGTGTTTTCTTGTCCTTTTCTCCCTCTCTGCCTRCCACGGTTTGCCGGGCAGCCCATCGTTTGTTGTCCTCTTCTCCCTCTCTGCCTACAGTTCATCGGGCAGTCCTGTTTGACTATATATATATATATATTATTCAGCCAACTGCACTCTCACTCTTTCCTTCCTCCAACTCGCACTCCTCAATGAGGATACTTCTACCTTGTTCCCCCGAACACAACACCTAGTGCAACTTTCAGTCCGGATACTTGTTCCCCCAAACAAAACACCCCATCATTATACCTGTACATAGGGCGACCTCCAATCTAGATATCTTGTTCCCCCAAACACAACTCCGAGTCCTTTTACCTGTATTTTGTCCCATTTTCAATCCAAATGGAACTATAACGACCGCAGCCATTGTGTTCCAGGGAAGAACGTTGTTTTCCTTAGTTTACTCCACTCTCCCTCATTCCTTCCCTCATTCCTTTCTCCAAGTCCCACGTCTGCACCCCGCCATCCCCCCATACCCTCCTGAATCGGCCACTGGCCGCCAGACTCTACAGCGTCAAGCTCCTTTTTACAATGATGTCCACCCACTGTAGCAGCATTAGCACTTGTTGAGCGTCCGGTAGCCTCCATGCGCAACGAGGCAGGAGCAGTCCTTTCTCTGTCTGTACCGACCAACTTCCTCATCCTCACCTCAAAACTTCAAGATAAGCATATCTTGTCTACTTTACCCATATCTTGTCTACTAGTTTGTCCATATCTTGTCTACTACTTTATTCAAATCTTATCTACTATTATCCATATACTGTCTCGTTTATTCATATGTTGTCTACTAGCTCATCCATATCTTGTCTACTACTACCTTTACCCATATCTAATCGACTTTTATCCATCTCTTGTCTACTAGTTTATCCATTTCTTGTATACTAGTTTTCTTGTATACTAGTTCATCCATTTCTTGTATACTAGTTTATCCATTTCTTGTATACTAGTTTATCCATTTCTTGTCTACTAGTTTTCCATATCTCGCCGACTAGTTATCCATACGTTGTCTACTAGTTTATCGCAACTTTATCCATATCTTATCTAATAGTTATCCACATGTCATCTACTGGATTAACCATATCTTATCTACTAGTTGGCCATATGTTGTCTACTAGTTTATCCATATCTTATTTATCCATATGTTGTCTACTCTATTCATACCTTGCCTGCTTTATCTGTATTTGGTCTACTCTAGCTGTATCTGGTCTACTTTACCCAGAATAACTCGGCCACAAGATCAGAAGTTATAACAGAAAATCTCGGACTACAAAAGACAATAATCAATCAAAATCTGCAATAAACAATTGGACAAACACTACACACTGCAGTTACAAATCCTAGGACACACAAGGTTAGTATTCACAACAACAGGATTTCTACTTTTTTTTTCCTTCCATTCTGTATTTTCAATACTCCAGTCTCTTATTGTGCCGCATCTACAAGAGTCCAGGTGGTTATAAAACGACAAATGTTGCAACAGAYGAAACAATGTCAGCTTGGCAACACCATCTTCCTCTTACCTCCACATTTCGGACCCCAGATTCCCAAAAGAAAAAGAAAAAACTTGTTTTAAGAAAGATTCCACTTAGCGCCTTTCAAGGGGTACAGACAAAACGCCGATCATGCATCCTTACATCTAGAGCGCTCTGCTGCAAATCAAAACTGCTACACAACATAGCTATGCTATACCAGGCTATGCTATGCTATGTTCTGCACATGGCACACGACATGGGAAGCCTCATCAAAGCATAATAGGAAGTATGATCGAAACATAGCACATGAAATAGCACGTAGCTATGCTATGCTACTGCTATGCTATGCTA